ACACACACACACACACACACACACACACACACACACACACACACACACACACCCCATTACACACAGTAGCAATTCTAAATACTCACGGGTACAAGGGATTGGTATTGGCCAGCTGGAGAACGTGTGTTTTCACAGGTTCCACAGCTATTAACATATCTTGTTCTACAGCCATAGGAAGAACAGAATATCCACAGTAATCTATATGCTCTCCTAGAATAAAGAGAAAGCATTTTTTATCATTGCTAGCATATGAATCTCAAGTAAGTTGACATACAAGAAAAATGACCACAAGGCAGGATTTAACAGAAAATAAAAATACTAAGGGCAGAAAGTAACACAATTTGCTTTCTCTCACTAACATCTGAGCCAGGAACTTTTGCTAGAATAAGTATTATATATTAGTTATTAGTTTCTGTTAATTTTTCAACTTCTTTAAATATTCACAATTTTTTCTACTTTCTAACTCATAATAATCATCTTTGAATATTTATGTTTAGTGACTAGTTATGTGGAGCATCAAGAAGTGCATTGTCTCCTTTCTCTGTTGCTCATTTGTATTAACTTTTAAAATATGAACAATGGAAGCCATTAGCACCCTCTCACTTATAATAACATTATGTGAGTCCCACTCTTTTCCTTACTAGCCAATGAACTCAGTAAAGGTGAAGTCTTTATTTATCTTAGTGGCCTAACCAAATGCCGAACAAATTAGCTTGGCACTGATTAGCTGTGTTAAATGTGCTAGACATAGCTAGGATAAAGAAAAAGCTAGAAAAAAAATTAACCTGCACCATTTTATAAATAATAAGCAAATTTAGAAAACAAACTATTCTCTTCTCCTTTTCATTCTAATTCCTCTATATATCACCAGCAGGAATTTTTTTTGCCTATTATACCACAATGTTTTCTCCAAATTACCATTTAAACTGAAGGTTGTTATTCATCAGATTTAAAAACAAAACAACAATTCAAGAAAGACGGGCTAAGCAATCTCACTCATATTTCGCCAGGACAGGTTTGTATATGTGATTGTTCCATGGCAGACACTGAGCAACTAAGAAACATAAAATGAATAAAAGACAATTCAACTGCCTAATTACATTTTTAAATAAATATTATTCTACATATTATTACAAGTAGCAAGTCTTTTGTTTCTATATTGATGTGTCCTTTAAAATAAAAAATTAGGGTTGTTTTTTTTTAATGGATTGACAATGACAGATGGAGAAGTAGTTTTCAAAGTTGTCTCTCTCCCAAACTTCCCTCAAAAAGACAATAAAATAAAACAGTGGCTCACAAGTAGAAAACACATATTTAAATTAGCATAACTGAAATCAAAGAGGAAATCAAGAAATACCTAGAAACAAAGGACAATGAAAACACAATGACCCAAAACCTATGGGAGGCAGCAAAAGCAGTTCTAAGAGGGAAGTTTATAGCAATACAATCCTACTTCAAGAAACAAGAAACACCTCAAATAAACAACCTAACCTTACACCTAAAGCAATTAGAAAAAGAAGAACAAAAAAACCCCAAAGTTAGCAGAAGGAAAGAAATCATAAACATCAGATCAGAAATAAATGAAAAAGAAATGAAGCAGGGCTTCTCTGGTGGCGCAGTGGTTGAGAGTCTGCCTGCTGATGCGGGGGATGTGGGTTCGTGCCCCAGTCCAGGAGGATCCCACGTGCCGTAGAGCAGCTGGGCCCATGAGCCATGGCCGCTGGGCCTGTGCGTCTGGAGCCTGTGCTCCACAGTGGGAGAGGCACAGTGGTGAGAGGCCCACGTACGGCAAAAAAAAAAAAGAAATGAAGGAAACAACAGCAAAGATAAATAAAACTAAAAACTGGTTCTTTGAGAAGATAACAAAATTGATAAACCATTAGCCAGACTCATCAAGAAAAAAAAGGGAGAAGATTCAAATCAATAGAATCAGAAATGAAAAAGGAGAAGTAACAACGGACACTGCAGAAATACAAAGAATCATGAGGGATTACACTACAAGCAACTATATGCCAATAAAATGGACAACCTGGAAGAGATGAACAAATTCCTAGAAAAGTACAACCTTCTGAGACTGAACCAGGAAGAAATAGAAAATATAAACAGACCAATCATAAGCACTGAAATTGAAACTGATTAAAAATCTTCCAACAAACAAAAGTCCAGGACCAGATGGCTTCCCAGGTGAATTCTGTCAAACATTCAGAGAAGCACTAACACCTATCCTTCCCAAACTCTCCCAAAATATAGCAAAGAGAGGAACACTCTCAAACTAATTCTACGAGGCCACAATCACCCTAATACCAAAATCAGACAAAGATGTCACAAAAAAAGAAAACTATAGGCCAATATCACTGATGAACATAAATGCAAAAATCCTCAACAAAATACTAGCAAAATCAGACAAAGATGTCACAAAAAAAGAAAACTATAGGCCAATATCACTGATGAACATAAATGCAAAAATCCTCAACAAAATACTAGCAAACATAATCCAACAGCACATTAAAAGGATCATACACCATGATCAAATGGGGTTTATTCCAGGAATGCAAGGATTCTTCAATATATGCAAATCAATCAATGTGATACACCATATTAACAAACTGAAGGACAAAAAACATATGATCATCTCAACAGATGCAGAAAAGGCTTTCGACAAAATTCAACACTGATTTATAATAAAAACCCTCCAGAAAGCAGGCACAGAGGGAACTTACCTCAACATAATAAAGGCCATATATGACAAACTCACAGTCAACATCATTCCCAATGGTGAAAAACTGAAACTATTTCCACTAAGATCATGAACAAGACAAGGTTGCCCACTCTCACCACTATTATTCAACACAGTGTTGGAAGTTTTAGCCACAACAATCAGAGAAGAAAAAGAAATAAAAGGAATCCAAATTGGAAAAGAAGAAGTAAAACTGTCACTGTTTGCAGATGACATGGTACTATACATAGAGAATCCTAAAGATGCTACCAGAAAACTACTAGAGCTAATCAATGAATTTGGTAAAGTAGCAGGATACAAAATTAATGCACAGAAATCTCTTGCATTCCTATACACTAATGATGAAAAATCTGAAAGAGAAATTAAGGAAACACTCCCATTTGCCATTCCAAAAAAAAGAATAAAACATCTAGGAATAAACCTATCTAAGGAGATAAAAGACCTGTATGCAGAAAACTATGACACTGATGAAAGAAATCAAAGATGATACAAATGGATGGAGAGATATACCACGTTCTTGGATTGGAAGGATCAACACTGTGAAAATGACTATACTACCCAAAGCAATCTACAGATTCAGTGCAATCCCTATCAAACTACCAGTGGCAATTTTCACAAACCCAGAACAATAAATTTCAATTTGTATGGAAAGACAAAGGACCCCGAATAGCCAAAGCAATCTTGAGAAAGAAAAATGGAGCTGGAGGAATCAGGCTCCCTGACTTCAGACTATACTACAAAGCTACAGTAATCAAGACAGTATGATACTGGCACAAAAACAGAAATATAGGTCAATGGAACAGGATAGAAAGCCCAGAGATAAACCCACACACATATGGTCACCTTATCTTTGATAAAGGAGGCAGGAATATACAAGGGAGAAAAGATACCCTCTTCAATAAGTGGTGCTGGGAAAACTGGACAGCTTCATGTAAAAGAATGAAATTAGAATACTCCCTAACACCATACACAAGAATAAACTCAAAATGGATTAAAGGGCTTCCCTGGTGGTGCAGTGGTTGAGAGTCCGCCTGCTGATGCAGGGAACACGGGTTCGTGTCCCGGTCCGGGAAGACCCCACATGCCGCGGTTGGCTGGCCCCGTGAGCCATGGCCACTGAGCCTGCGCGTCTGGAGCCTGTGCTCCGCAACGGGAGAGGCCACAACAGTGAGAGGCTCGCGTACCGCAAAAAAAAAAAAAAAAAAAAAAATGGATTAAAGACCTAAATGTAAGGCCAGACACTATTAAACTCTTAGAGGAAAACATAGGCAGAACACTCTATGACATAAATCACAGCAAGGTCCTTATTAACCCACCTACTAGAGAAATGGAAATGAAAACAAAACTAAACAAATGGGACCTAATGAAACTTAAAACTTTTGCATAGCAAAGGAAACTGTAAACAAGACGAAAAGACAACCCTCAGAATGGGAGAAAATATTTGCAAACGAAGCAAGTGACAAAGGGTTAATCTCCAAAATATACAAGCAGCTCATGCAGCTCAATATCAAAAAAACAAACAACCCAATCCAAAAATGGGCAGAAGACCTAAATAGACATTTCTCCAAAGAAGATATGCAGATTACCAACAAACATATGAAAGGATGCTCAACATCACTAATCATTAGAGAAATGCAAATCAAAACTACAATGAGGTATCACCTCATACCAGTCAGAATGGCCATCATCAAAAAATCTACAAACAATAAATGCTGGAGAGGGTGTGGAGAAAAGGGAACCCTCTTGCACTGTTGGTGCGAATGTAAATTGATACAGCCACTATGGAGAACAGTATGGAGGTTTCTCAAAAAACTAAAAATAGAACTACCATATGACCCAGCAATCCCACTACTGGGCATATACCCTGAGAAAACCATAATTCAAAAAGAGTCATGTATCACAATGTTCATTGCGGCTCTATTTACAATAGCCAGGACATGGAAGCAACCTAAGTGTGCATCGCCAGATGAATGGATAAAGAATTGTGGCACACATATACAATGATATATTACTCAGCCATAAAAAGAAACAAAATTGAATTTTTTGTAGTGTGGTGGATGGACCTAGAGTCCATCATACAGAGTGAAGTAAGTCAGAAAAAGAAAAACAAATACCGTATGCTAACACATATATATGGAATCTAAAAAAAAAAGAAAAAAATGGTTCTGAAGAACCTAGGGACAGGACAGGAATAAAGACGCCGTCGTGGAGAATAGACTTGAGGACATGTGGAGGGGGAAGGGCAAGCTGGGACGAAGTGAGAGAGTGGTATGAACATATATACACTACCAAATGTAAAATAGATAGCTACTGGGAAGCAGCTGCATAGCACGGGGAAATCAGCTCAGTGCTTTGTGTCCACCTAGAGGGATGGGATAGGGAGGGTGGGAGGAAGACGCAAGAGGGAGAAGATATGGGGATATATGTATATGTATACTGATTCACTTTGTTATACAGCAGAAACTAACACACAGTTGTAAAGTAATTATACTCCAATAAAGATGTTAAAATTTTTTTTAATTAAAATAAATAAATAAGTAAGCAGAACTCTAGGGAGCCACCAGATTCTGTTGGGAAGGCTACAGTGTGAATGACAGCCTTCTGAGAATGAAGATTCCTCCCTCTGTGAAAACTGATGGAAACATCCTGGGTGAGGGGCAGGGAGGGAGCATGAACTACTGGCAAGTAAGGATAACAACCATGATTACATTTTGGATATTTTAACAGAAAATATAATAATGCTTTTAATAAAGACTGAAATTCATTTCATCCCAAGCACTAACTAATTAACTACCTTGGAACATAATCCCCCCTTTTTTAAAATCAGAAAATAGTCAATACATTTACTAGAATAAGAATTACTTATTCAGGAAATACCTTAGGTTGGAACGCTTACTCCCAAAACTAAGTGAAACTTGGCTCTCTCTCCTCTGAGGATATTGCTTCTTTGCAGTCCTCTCACAATAGCAAGGAGTTCTTGATGACCTCCTCCCACTCTGTTGTTTCCAGGATTTCTTCCTGTCCTCTTCCTCGGAGGCTCATACCACATTTTCTTGTCTTCATCACTTTCATTTCTGACTCTCAGACATCTGCTCCGCACTGAAGACATTTACATCTCATTCCACCCTCTCCATCCCAGTCCTGCAATGCCTGCATAACATCCAAGTAAACAACCCAGTCCAAGACCCCAGCTTCCTAATCCCTTCACCCCTGGAAAACTTGACGTCCTCTCTGCTTCAGCTATCTACTTCCGTGGACTTGACAAATCCAGTAATGACCACAGACCTTCTTATCACCTGGAACTTTTCTACCTGTGAAATTTGTGTTTCAAATATCAAATTCTTTACTAAAACTTCCCATCCTGCCATTTCTCTTACTCCGTTTATCCTATCACCTGTTCCTCGGAGTCAGTTCTTTGCCCTTTCTACCCTATAGGTTCCCTCCTACCTTTCTTTCTTTTTCTACCTAGCATAGATTCCAGGGTTCATTACTTCACCTACCCTTCTGACAATATCGGTGAATTCTTGATGTCATTCTCTTGTAACCTCCATCCAAAACAAAACCCCAAACCTAGATCAAACACAGGCAACTTAGACTAGCTGAGCGGGAAAAAGGAACAACTTTGCAGATTGGTACTGCTACAATTCTATGGTCTCCTGCTCTAACCAGATCTCAATGTTACCAGCAAACTTTTTTTTCCCAGTCCTCTCCTTCTTCCATCCTTGACAAAGCTATTTCAAACTTTCTGCCATCTCCTTAAACTTCCAACACCTCCAACACTCCCCCAAAAGAACTCCCTCAACCTTCTATACCAAAATTATACATTTACCTGCATCAACTTGCATCCTTTTCTTCCCTGCCTTCTGTTAAAAAGTAGTCAAAGTGGCCCTCTTCCTATGCCATAGACACCAGCCCTTCTTGCCTTCTTGGGAATCCTGCTCCATCAAGTTCCTCCCTTTTCAGATATCTTTGACCTGTCTCTCTCCACTGATTTTACTCAATTCCCCCTCCCCACCTCATTTAACCATGCTCAAACATCTCATATTTTTAAAATCCTCCATTATTTACTTCAAAATAAGACTGCCTGAGTTGATAATAATTGATGCTACATTTTGGGTACACGGGAGTTCATTATATTATTCCAACTGCTTTTTTATATGTTTACACTTTCCAGTACAGAAAGTTTTCTTTTTAATTCTCCTTTGATTTGGATTTTTCTCAGTTCCCCATCCCATTTTCTCTTGATAAAACGTATTCATTCTTCAGGTCACCACACTTTTAAAAGCAAGGAATTATTCAGTTTTCCTGTATTCTTCTAATCCAATGAGTAAATGTAAAACCATCAAAATTACTCACTGCAGTCTAAAAACTTAACCTGCAGCATAGAAAAATCTGCCCATCTCTCATGAAAATAATGTAAATAACTGGGTCTCAACAAATTTCTAAATTTTAAAAATGAATGGACAAAATTAACATTAATAACATGGATTGGGAAAGATGAAAATATAGTGTTCCTTATGCAAAACTTATCTTGCTATAGTAGATGTATGTGAAACATTCTGTTTTTTCAGTTCTCCCGATGTATTGACAAAAATTTGGATCTTACCAAAGGAAGAAAAAATTAAGAGAAGGAACTTTTGAAATACCTATGATATTGACTCTTCCTGGTGCTCGAACATAAAACTTGGGAACGGATCCAAACTTAGAATTAAACATCCCTTTTAGCTTCAGCAATCTGAAAACAAGAGTAGAATATTTCAGAATATCCAGATAATAGAAAAACCCATAAGATACACACACACACACACACACACACACACACACACACACATTTCATATACCTACCACCATTAATTATCTTTAAAAATAATAAAAGCAAACTCTTTTACTGACATACTTCCTTGAAAATCCCAGGATGAAACAATACTGTAACCCGCTAAGTGACATAAGAGTATAGCTAAGCACACAGAGGAGTAAAAAATTTAATACTGATGAACACAACAGAAAAAAAATTCTTTGCTTCAACAGAATTAACTTTCTGGATAATTTCTCAATGATATTCAGAGAAGAATCTCTTTCTACTAAAAAATAATAGCATGGAGTAATGTATCAGTTTCCTAGAGCTGCCATAATAAAGTATCACAAACTGGGTAACTTAAAACAGCAGAAATTTATTGTCTCTGAGTTGTAGAGGCAAAATCAGAGTGTTGGCAGGACGATGCACCTCTGAAACCTGAAGGGGAAAATCCTTCCTTGCCTCTTTTTAGTTTCTGATGGTGACCATCAATCCTTGGCATTCCTTGGCTTGCTGCTCTATCACTCCAATCTCTGCCTATGTCATCACGTGGAATTCTCTGTGTGTCTCTATCTGTGACTCTGTTTTTCCTTCTCGTAAGGACATCAGGCTTATTGGATTAGGGCCCACCTTAATTCAGTATGACTTCATCTTAACTTGATTACATATGTAAAGATGCTAGTTCAAATAATATTACATTCTGAGGTTCCAGGTGGACATGAATTAGGAGGGATGCTATCCAACCCAGTACAGTCAAATGAAAACTAGACTGGATATCAGGAGACTACAGTTCTAATTCCAATGGGGGTTCTAATTCGATGCCAAAGTTTGGAAAATCATTTTCCCTTGGACCCTCTTCTGTAAAATTAGAGCATTTGAACAAGATATTCCTCATAGGTCCCTTCCAGGTCAAAAATGCTTATAATATATTTAATAATTTTACACTGTTAAATCATCTCAAGTCACTTCTATGAATACCCCCCACTGTTTGTAGTCCCACAATATATTGTATCTGAGTAATAACACCAAGACAGTAAATATTTATTAGACCTACTATATTCAAGACATTCATTAATTAAATGATTAATCTTAAAGATTAGTTACAAGAAACATAAAATCACACCAAAAAAATCTAAGAAAAAAGGAAATTTATTATAATGATAGAAAGATACATTGAATATTCTTGGAAGTTATTCAGGATGACCTCCTAGGACTATGACAGCCATCAGAAACTTTCATTACTGATGGGTGGGGCTGTGTTCCCGCCCTGTTTGTCATGCCTGAGGTGTCCCTGCACTGCAGTCTACAGACTTTTGGGTGGGACTAATGGTGGCTTCCAGGAGGGCTCACGCCAGTGAGTACTCCCCAGAATTTCTGTTGCCAGTGTCCTTGTCCCCACTGTGAGCTGCAGCCACACCCCTGACTCTGCAGGAGACCCTCCAACACTAGCAGGTAGGTCTGGCCCAGTCTCTTATGCTTTGTTTCCCTGGGTCCTGGTGCACAAGAGACCTTGTGTGTGCTCTCCAAGAGTGAAGTTTCTGTTTCCCTCAGTCCTGTGGAATTCCTGTGATCAAACCCTTCTGGCCTTCAAAGCCAGATTCTCTGGGGGCTTCTTCTCCCATTGCCGGAACCCCACACTGAGAAGCCTGATGTGGGGCTCAGAACTTTCACTCCTGTGGGAGAATTTCTGTGGTATAATTATTTACCAGTTTGTGGGTCACCCATCCAGCAGGTATGGGATTAGATTTTATTGCAATTGTGCCCCTTCTATCATCTCGTTATGGCTTCTTCTTTGTCTTTGGATGTAGGGTATCTTTTTTGGCAGGTTCCACTATTTTTTTGTCAATGGTTGTTCAGCAGTTAGTTGTGATTTTGGTGTTCTTGTAAGAAGGGGTGAGCTAACATCCTTCTACTCCATTACCTTGAGCTCTCCAGGAAGCCAGAGCTGATGTTATAGTGGAATTTTCTTCATCAGCATTCTACATCCAGCCAGATGCTAACATCTTGTATTTGTCATACAAACATGAAGAGTCTTAGTTGGCAGGGTAGCTCCACTCCAGATGGTCATTCAAGGATCCAGATATCTTCCTTCTCATTGCTTCACTATTTCAGACTGTTGTCCATTTCTGCATGCTCAAAATTGGATTGTAGGCATGTCCATGCTCTAGGTCAGATGAACCATTCATTTTTTTTTTTCCTCAGTGGCTGCCTCTCCCCCTCGACACACCAGTGCAGCGGTCATGCTCTGCCCCCAAAAACTCTATTTAAATTGTGTGTTTGGCTCTCTCCTTCCTGTCTCATTCTTTCATCCCTCCAAAAACACCATCACCATTTCCCTCTGCTCAATGCTCTTCACATTCCAGTTGCCTTTGTGAGCCTCTGAGTTTTTGCTCTTCCATCCCTTCAGTTTTCATGACACTGTGGCCTCAAGTCTAGAAGATTCAACAGCTTCAATGTCCTATACTTTCTGATTAAGTCTCTGTGTCCCTAATTCAAATTCTCAAACAGATAATCTGGTTGGCAGCATATAGGTCCTGTATCCATCCTGGTCCAATTACTTTTGGCCAAAAAGGAGAAGCTATTTGATATAAACAAGGTCACTTGCTTTAGTTACAGATATGATCACCTGGGTCCACTCCTTCAGCAGAGGTTGTGGATGACAACAGAAGATGTGGAGAGGGAGATAATAATGGATATCTCTAGCACATCATTCAAGATAGATTTACTGGACTCCCAAGTAGATGTGCATAATGATCGCTGCCTAAATCTGATTTTCCCCATATAACCTGCAAAACAATTTAGAACAAGAACAAACAAGTGATATTTTTATTTCTTTATTATAACTAGACAATTGTACCTTTATTATAAGTAGGAGAGAATGCATAAACTTTAAATGAAAGAAAGAAAGAGGCAAAACACTGCGAGCCACGGGAAAAAGAAACTGAGTGGAAAGAGCAAACTAAGATTAATCTAAAACCACCACTAGAAAGAAAAAGTACATCCATTTAAAAATGAGAGGTGTAAAAGAAGAAAAGATGAAAATAAACTCATTGATTGCTACATAGGCAATCAAAAACTTAAAGGATACCATTAAGCATGACAAAGCAACAATTTTTTTAAGTTATTACACACAGGCATATGAAAAAGTATTATTAAACTCCTAGAAAAAAAGTACCCCAGGGAGACTGTGACCTGTGTAGTCAGGTAGACCTGGGCTCAAACCCCTTCTCGACCATGTGATGAAATTCCTTAACCTCATTCACCTTTATATGGGGTGGAAATATGAATTGAGTTATTTGGAAGATTGAATAAGGTATTGTAGGAACAGTGTCTAGCCTAGGGCTGGCATGAAGTACTTGTTCAGTAAATGACAGTTATTATAAGCTCCTGATTCCTTGGTTCAGTACTGTTTCTACTCTGCAGCATATGAATAAGAATCCACTAGAAGCAATGAAAGATGGTAGGTAATTAAATGTTTAGTTTACATCAGGACTGGAAGCGCTATTAGAGCACTAGGGTGATTTTTATGATGCTATTGATAAATCTTCATGCTCTCTGCCTTGTATCTTCCATTTTATTGAGAGGGTTGAAAAAACTTAGGTTATTTGTCCATCAGATTCTAGACAGAATTATTTAAAAGGTTCATGTTTTTCAATGAAAAAAATAAACTGCCAAAGCAGATAGTAAAAGGTTAAGTAAGAAAAGTCCCCTGCTTTTTCAGGGCATTAAAAAGATATATAAATACAAAAGTAACCAACAGAACAAAAATATCAATCTTCCTAACTACCAAAGAAATTTCAAAAACAGATAGATAAACCAGTAAATAAACACAGAAACTATATTATAACACATAATTTAAAAATAAATGACTAAGTTGAAATCAAATATATCAGTCACATCAATAAAAGAAAGTGTAAGGAAAGACTCAAAAAGACAAAAGTAGAAGGTAATGATATGGGGAGTAGAAAAACAGTAGACCTGGTTAACAAATTAAACCCTGGGTTTTTAGGGGAAAAATTAACAAAATAGACAAGCCACTAGCTAATGAATTAAGAAAATGGGGGTTGATAAAGCATGAATAAACAAAATAAGAAATAACAAGGATGAGATAACATTAAACAAAAGAAATTTTAAAAGTCATAAGAGACTACTTTGTAGACCTCTATCCAAATAAATTTAAACTGTAATAAAGAAACTGACTCCATTTTTTGATGTTTACTTACAGCTTTTGAGCTTCAACTCCCCCTCTTTCCCCTTCTGCCTCATATCAAGCAAGTGGATAAAAAAGCCCAGGTGCTCTCTCTTTTGTCACCAACCAAACCATAGCACACCAGTTCCATCTCCTAACCACTACAAAAACCTCAAGCTAGTCTCCTTTCCTTGCTCTCTCAAGCCATTTTTGGCCAGCTTGGGTGGCCTGCTCTGCCCTCCTCAGAAAGCCTCATTATGTGAGTAATAAATTTTTCATACCCTCTTGCTCATGTGGTATTATCAGTCTCAACATCCGAACCAAATTTTTGGGTGGGAATCCATCCTGTTTCTGTGGTATGGCCACAACAGAAATCCTAAAGAAATGGATAATTTCCTAAGGAAATACAATTTATAAAAACAGATCCATTTCCATAGAAGAAATAAAGTCATCAAAGAACCACCTCACACATATGGATTAAGCCCAGATGTTTTACAAGAGAGTTCTACCCAAGCATGAACATCAGATAGCCCATATACTCCATGAGTTGTTCCAGAGCATTGAAAAATAAAGAAAAGTGGTCTAATTCTTGCTATGAAGCAAGTGTAACATTGATACCTAAACCAGATAAAGATAGTCCAAGAAAATACAACTACAGACTAATGTCACTCTTGAATATTAATGCAAAAGTACTTAATAAAATATTAGTGAACATAAGGCAGCACCATATTAAGAAAATAATTCATATTAAGTGGCATTAACTCCAGGAATGAAAAGTTGAAAATATTAAGATAATCTGTTAAAATAATATATCATAATAAATCTAAGGAGAAAAAAATTATAGGACTACTTCCATAGGTGTTAAAAAGCTCCCAATAAAATTTATTCCCAAAGGTGTTTATCTTAACATGATTACATATATCTCAGTCTTAAATCCAAAGCTAATTAATGAGGAAATTCTAGAGACATTTCCGCTAAGATCAAAAACAAGACAAAAAGTTCTACTATCTCCACATCTAATCCACACAATACTGGAGGTATCAGCCAATACAATTAGACAAGAGAAATCAAGAATCAAAAAAGAAGTAAAACTATCTCTACTTGGAGATAATATAGTAGGATGCCTAGAGAGTCCCAGAGAATCAATTATAAAACCAACTTACGGACTTCCCTGCTGGCACAGTGGTTAAGAATCCGCCTGGCAATGCAGGGGACATGGGTTCAATCCCTAGTCCAGGAAGATCCCACATGCCACGGAGCAACTAAGCTGGTGTGCCACAACTACTGAGCCTGCGCTCTAGAGCCTGTGAGCTACAACTACTGAGCCCGCGTGCCACAACTACTGAAGCCCGCGTGCCTAGAGCCCATGCTCTGCAACAAGAGAAGCCACCACAATGAGAAGCCCACGCACCGCAACATAGGATAGCCCCCACTCACTACAACTAGAGAAAGCCGTGAGCAGCAACAAAGACCCAACGCAGCCAAAAATAAAATAAATACATAAATAAAATTTTTTTAATAAAAATAAAAGCTCATCCATGATACTGCTGGAAATTGATTTTCATGTTCTTTAAAATAAATAAGTAAAACCAACTTAAATAATAAAGAATTCACAAATATAGCAGGATATAAAATGAATACTCAAACATGAATACCCTTCATGTGCAAAATCAATGACCAATTAGGGCTATAATGGTAGAGCAAACCTTGTTCATAGCAACAAGAAAAGACTAAACGTTTAGGAATAAATTTAACAAGAAATGTGCAAAATTTATTTAAGTAAAGCTTTAAACACTCTTGAAAGACATAGAATAGACTCAAAGAAATGGAAAGACATCCTTTGTTCTTGGATAAGATGACCCAACATCATAAGGATAGTTATTCCCAAGTTAATTAATAAATTAAATTAATTAAATTAAATCCCCTCCCAAAAAATACCAACAAGGTTTTCTTATAGAGGTAGACAAGTTGATACAAAAAATCATGTGGAAAACAAATATGCAGGAATAGTGGGGAAAACATTAAAAAAGAACAACTGTGAGGACGGAGTAACCCTACCAAACATTAAAACATTCTATAAAGCCTCTGTAATGACAACAGTGAGGTACCAGCACATATATAGATAAGCAGACTTCAGTAGAATAAAAGGTTCAGAAATAGATACAAGTACATACAGAAACTTAGTATATGAGGAAAGTGGCATCTCAAATCACAACACAAAGATGAACTTTTTAATAAACAGTGGTAGTAAAAGTGCTTAAACTTCTGGGAAAGATAAAATTAGGACCATCTCTTACACAAGAATAAACTCCAAATGGATCATGCACTAGAAGAAAACAAATGAATTTCAGTATAACTCAATATAGGGGAGAGGTTTTCTAACTATGACTCAAACTTCTGAGGCAATTTTTTTAACTTGACAAATTTGACTACATAAAGATTTTTTAAAACACATGGCAGAAAATTTTATAATCAAAGTCAAAAGAAAACTAGCAAACTAAGAGAAAATATTTACATGTTACAGACATATTCTTTATATTAAAAAAAAAAACTCTGAAACTGTAACACTCCTAGAACAGAACACAGGCAGAACATTCTTTGACATAAATTGTAGCAATATTGTTTTGAATCTGTTTCCTAAGGCAAAAGAAACAAAAGCAAAAAAAAAAACAAACAGAACCTAATTAAACTTCAATGCTTTGGCACAGCAAAAGAAACCATCAATAAAATGAAAAGATAACCTACTTTCATAGCAGCATTATTTACAATAGCCAAGATATGGGAGCAACCTAAGGGTCCATCAACTGATGAATATGATGGATAAAGATGATGTGATATATATATATATATATATATATATATATATATATATACATACACACAAACATACATACACACACAACAGACTACTCAGCCAGAAAAAGAACGGAAATCTGCCATTTGCAATAATGTGGATAGACCTAGAGAATATTATGCTTAGTGAAATAAGTCAGAGAAAGACAAATACTTTCACTTACATGTGGAATCTAAAAAGTAAAACAAACGAATATATATAACAAAACAGAAACAGACTCACAGATATAGAGAACAAATGATTGGTTACCAGTGGGGAAAGGGGAGGGCAAGATAGAGCTATGGGATTAAGAGATACAGACTACTAAGTATAAAACAGATAAGCAACAAGGATATATTGTACAGCACAGGGAAATATAGCCATTATTTTGTAGTAACTTTAAATGGAATATAATCTATAAAAATATTGAATCGCTATGTTGTACACCTGAAACTCATATAATATTGTAAATCAACAGTACTTCAACTTAAAAAACTCAAAAACTGAGTGAAAAATGACCAAAAACTGGATAGAAAAATGTGCAAAAGATGTGAACAGAAAATCCATACTAAGAGTAGTTCATCAATGGACCTTAAACACATGAAATCAGAGAAATGCAAATTAAAACTACACCAAGATACTATAAGAATTGTGAAAATTAAAAAGTAACAACACATTCTGTTGGTGAGGTTCTGTGGAAACAGGCACTTTTCTACATTGGGTTGGGAATGCAAATTGGTACAACACATTTGGAGGGGAATTGG